TGAGTTCAATATGAATAAATATTTAATATGACTCGGTAGTCACGAGTCACGAATCTTTCATATGACTCGGGAGTCACGACTCGTATGAAAGATTCGTTCATTTTGAACGAATCACTCGCGAACGACACATCACTACTATATTGCTCACATTACAAAATAGCTCAACGCTGTCAACATGGTCGGAACGTTTTTATTAACGCTGGTCCGCAGCACGGGAAGGCCTATTTCCGTTTTCCCACTGAAAAGAGAAACAAACATTGTTGTTCAATCACTCAATTTACAGGTGAAGAAGAAATTGAGATAAACGGTTGCGACTGTGAAGCGAGAATGGGCTTACACGAATGTTGAGTAAAGAATTTACCATTGTTTCAGTCCTAATTACCTCTAAAGTGCCTGAAATGTATTTATTTTGCACCGCATGGGCGCCATTTTGTGTCTGGTTGCATCGACCGATACAGACAATGTGAAGAAAAACAGTTCGAATGCACCTAGTACTATTACCATAATGGAACAGTGTGTTGCCGTTGTGTTGAACACAGATGTTTTCCGAGGACACAGTTAAAGTAGAATGTAAGATAAGTATATATATTTAAAAAAACAAGACAAACTTAACAAATGTTGGAAGCAGAATTAATGCTTAGTACAACTGCATTTGTGATTAGGTTGATACTTAACAAGGTCCAAAGACAAGGATGATGAGGTGTCACAAAACTAAACATTTGACAGTTATATAAATTCATGGTTTTGCAGACTATATAGAAAAAAGTTGTGATAGAGCACATTGCCAAATGTTTGATGTAATGTTCTTTTTCTAGCTACTGAGCAACAAGCCTGTAATTTTTCAGCATTATTTGTAACAACTGGTTATTTAATCACTTCATTATAATCAACAGTTGAATCCATGTAGACACAGGGTCTCGTACAGAATTATACACATTATACCCAAGGACATTTAATTTCTTTATTAATTTTTGTAAATGTTGAGCTGGTGTACAGAGTAAATTGTCAATAGATGTCCTTAGATTTGACTTGATTAAAAGGCTTGTACATGTGTATTTTAAATCATGTTCCACTTTCCATAACAATAAAAAAAAGCAAACAAAACAGGTTAAAATACCCAGAAAGTCCCATTTTCTCCCAGGTTGCAGGCATTACCCAGAACTCAACAGTGTCTTGGTAGCTACAGCTGTATGATGCTAAAAGTACATCCATAACATAACATAACTAGAATCCCAGTTGACAAGTAAGGGTGCATAGCATTTATATATATATATATATATATATATATATACACATACATATATATAGCCTTTTTATGATAAAAACGTTTCTGTGCATGTGCGCAGTTGCATTCCTTAGTATTGAGTATATGCTATTACGGTAATAATGTCTTCAATCCATTCTAAAGGAATATACATGTGTTCTCTAGTTTTTGCAACAGTTAGTATTTTTGCATGAACTTGATGCATGGCATCGTTTTAGTAGTCCCTAAGAGCTTTCCTTTTCTTTATATTTCTGACCACTCCTCCCGCCATTTGCACTTGTTTAGACACCTCCTCTCAGACGGTGTCGATAATGTCATCCTTGTGTAACCTACAGAACTAGCACGGTCTTCGTTTCCATCAAAGGGACAGAAATAGATCAGCAGTACAGGCTGTGTTGAATAGAAATCCTTGTCATCTTGAAAGACTAGCCATCGAAACCACCAAGCCTCAACATAGTTCCATACAGCTTGAAAGTGCTTCCCCCTGCTGTCTTTTCATCAGACCTCACTCCTCACTCTAACCCTGCCATCAGCAGTGGGGTTGTAAAAAACAAAGAGTTGCTAGGTAAAGAGAGTTGCTGATGTAAGCACAGCATAATTATGAGCCCTTAATGAGCAAAATGTATGAGGGAGTTTTGTATTAGTACACTCCTGTGTAATGTCTACTGATCCAACTATGTGGGGTTCTTTAAAACTTAAGTTAAATAGAAATAATATCTGCTTTGTTATAGCCTACAAAATGCTTTAAATCTGTCTTATATGACCTGATGATGAAATGAGAATGAACGGATGTTTTGATGGCTAAGAGTAGATACTGAGTTGAAACATCAGAGTAAATTCTCTATTATCTACAGTACTAAAGTACAGGGCCAACATATATGATTACTTTTATGATTACTAACAAGACTGACATTATTTCAAGACTTTACATTCATTATCTCTGGCTGTGATGCCATTCTAAACATATATTAATAGGTGCTTTATTGCAACAGTTTTGTGACATATGTACTTCATATTATATAATTCACTTTGTAATGAAATGTTTACAAGACACATACCAGTATATAACTGATATCACTTGAGATGTTGAGCCTATTGAGGTAAATTAATTTATAAAAAAAGAGGTGATTTAGACTCTTGTATACTCTGAGAGCTGCTGCTCTTTGTTCATATGCGATATTACTTTCTGTGATATTATCACAACATTGACATGTCCCATCAGCCAGGACTTATACAAGGCATTAAAATCACATGCATACACACACACACAAACAAACACATACACACTACCAGTATTGTTTTTCTTCCAAGGTGCATACTGTATTAATGCTGTAAAGATAACAAAAAACAAAAAAAAAACAAAAAACAAAAAACAAACAAACAAGCTGTATAAAAACAAATTTGAAGCCGGAGCTTCAGAAGAACTATGATCTTCAACACCCCCTTCTCTTCCTTCTCTAATTACACAAAATACACAGAGTCTCATTCATACCAACCACACTTCTTCTTGCAAGGAGTTATTGCTTCCTCTGAGTTATAGATAAGACGATGAAACTGTGGAAATTAAAGACAAAACAGGAGTAAAATGAGACGCGCTTCAGGAAGGGTCAGGCTCACAGTTGCGGGTCGGTTTTACAGTTTCTCATCACAGTGAATGGTAACTGTCATTGCTACACTCCGAGAAAGTTACCAAAAAGACAAACATCAGAGCTTTACACAACCTCAGCCCTTAATGCAACACTCTCCTTACTCCAAGTCTCTTTAACACAGCCTCACCACTGCTACATTAATACCAGGATTTCAGCTACTTCAACCTCATCAAGTGACATCTGTTGCTGATGAGATGGTCTAAATGTGCGCCTAATGAATGGTGGTATCAAATACTGCATGATGAAGTTATACACACACTGCTACCTTGAAGTTGGATCCTGCCCACTGCTTAGATGTGGGCAG